TGGCTGAAGCAGAGGAGTGCAAGAATGAGAGCAGCCCTCAGCACAGACAACAGAGGACTGGGGCAGCAGCAGACAGCTTGGGTGCTGTTGCAATGTACCTCTGGAGCAGAAGGGGAAGCAGTGGCATTGGTCAGGTTGCAAGCAGTAGCCCACCTTCAGACCCAGCTGCCTTCAGCCCATCACGCCTTATAAACCGGCTGACCCCAGTTTAGAAGGTATGTGATCATGTAAATGAAATAGCTTCATAATCACTACATACAAATGGACCAACTGAATAATTAGGAGAGATATTAGTCAGGCTTTTCCAAAGGGCGCTTCCTCAGCTTTGGAAAAGAAGCCAAAACAGCCTAAGCTAAATAGTAAATACCAGATGAAATGGTGACTCTTGGTTAAGAGCTCTAGACCTGGAGAAAGGGACTTTGTTCCCAAAAAGCTTTTCTAACATCTCTTCCAACTATTCAGATGGTCCAATACAAGATATTACCCCAAAAAGTCCTCACTTCATGCATATTTCCTGGACCATCTTGTCTACAGAACACTCCAACCTTACTAGATAAAAATGAGAAGAGATGAGCTTAGGCCACAAGAAAAACCTTGACTTCATAGTCAACTCTCTTCTGAGTGTTCATCTTGGCAGCCATAAAGCCCTGTTAATGAAAAGTTCTCTAATAACTTCTTTTTTTTTAAACAGAGAAAAGAAATTCCATAACTAGAAAATATTTGGCTAGAAACCACTGGCAGCAATTTAGGTCAACTTCTCACCCGAGGTCAACAGAAATGAACCCCTTCAGGAGATCTGCAGGAGGGAGCCTCTCATATTAACATGCTTCATAACTTTTACCTTACCATATGCCCCTTTGGCTCAACCTCCTCACTGACAAAATATAGGCTCAGGAAGGGGGTTTTCTTCTCCTTTCATCCACTCTGCAGAGAAAAATATGGAAAGTATGATCTTGGCCTTAATTTTTTCAGTTGACATTTATTTATTTACTTTTAAAAGGGACTGCAATAAATTCTAGTATTTAAAAATATATAACATATTAAGATTGTCTTAAACATTTTAAATGTGAACTTTATTCTAAACTATGGGAGATAATCACTAAGAGACACAGCATAAACAACCACCATTGGCAGTCATATACTCTCAACCATTTTATAAGTATTTGATAAATGGGTATATAAAGAGCACCTCACATCTTTTTTGTTTCGCTTCTGACCTTAAACACTGTCTAAGTTCCAGTGAAATCAGTCACATGAAGATAAGGCATGTGGATAATTTCTTTGTTAAATTGCAGCTTTAGTTAGTTATAATTTTTACCAATTCTGCCATTTGTATTCATGTTGAGTAGAATTCATGGAATTCACTTAGGTCTACATACATAAACTACTCATGTTCAGTATGAATAACAGAATGAACCCCTTTAGAGTTCAGTTCAATGTCTATCAAAGTCAACATATATCCATTTGATTTCAAAGGGCACTAAATCTTCAATCAGATACAATCTGAGCAGAGTTTAAACTTTTGTCCCTTTTCTAGGACCTGAAGTGTTCATGTTCAAACACGTTCACCAGGACTAAGTACAGATGGTCAAACAGCCACATGCCTGCAGTGGCTCAGGCCAGAAGCCAGGAGCTGCTAGAGAAGTAGTTCCCAAACTTTTTAGACCACGGACCGGCAAACTGTAGACCGGTAAACCACAGACCAGAAGTGACTGCAGACTGGCAAACTGCAGGCTAAGTATACTGAATATACCAAGTATAAAAAAAAAGCTGGCTACCGGTCTGCAGTACGCCGGTCACTTTCGGACTTCCAGTCTGGCAGCAGACCAGCAGCCAACCCTTCGTGGCCCAGTACCAGACCACGGCCCGGAGGTTGGGAACCTCTGTGCTAGAGCGGCTCTCTGGCTATGTGTTCACTTCCTCTTCCTGCTGCCCCTGAGGTCCCTGGCATTTGCAGTCAAGAATTATAGCAACAGGACTCTGCAGGGTTGCTCACTTCCTACTTCCAGGTGCCTCTGGGATTTGTAGTCCACAGTTGTAGTCAGCATTACATTTGATAGAGGGAAGCCACAAAGAATATTCTATCACCCCTCTTTTATAATCAAACTTCAGGTATTTGAAGAGAGTATTTTGCAATGCAAGCCATGAAAACCACTACATAAAATAACTTTCACACATATTCCTTTTTACAGATATACAGTAGTATATCTTTATTCTATTCTGTATAGGTTCGTATACCTAGTACTGAGCCTCTTCCATAGCACAGTTCTTATATTAGTCAAATACTGTTCATTCCTTCTCTCATTCTCTCCCTAGGAGAACAACTGTGTTTAGTGTAGTATTTTAATTTGATTAGTTTCCCTAAAGAAATAATTTATGTGCATTGCCATGTATTATATTTTCAAGAAAACAAGGTCAAATATGTCTTGCACTTGAAATGAAAAGTTGTAAGGTCTATGATGCCCTATTTTGCCTGTGGGAATTAAATTTATAATCCCAGACCAGCTTCCAAAAGAGTCTTCCTCAGAAAGTTTACCCCTCAGATTCTGGATTCAGCCATTTTTATTCTATCTTAATGTGTTTTTTTTATATAGGACAATAATGCCATACCACTTCATGCACTCACATACACATAATAAAGAGGAAGCTATTCATATGCAGGACTAAGTGAATGAGCAAGTAGAAGTGCCATATATATATATATATATATATATATATATACACACACAGACCCAGGGTGGGCAAACCATGGCTTGGAAGCTGCATGCTCCAAGCTGTTTAAATGAAGCTCATGAAGAAAGTAAGTGTACAGATCATTGGTTCTGGGAAATGCACATCTTGAAAGCTTTACATCCTGCAATTCTAAAATGTCTCAAAATGTTTGTTTGCAGCTACAAGGTTCAAGACATGCGGCCACCCTTGATAATGTGGTACTATTGGGGAGGGGGGGATGATAGTTACTCTAAGAGTATGACAGCGATGTATAAATGCAGATATTTTCACGCAAGTCAAACCTTAGTACATTTCCTGATATATCAGGGTTTCCTAGATTTTATCAGAGTTATCTTTCACCAAGTACATGTTCTCATCTACCTCAGTTCCACATTATTAATAAAGTCTGAGGAAGAAGAGGAATGTGACAAAATTCACTGGAGGAAATTTGGGGGGGAGGGGAGAAACAAACCCAGAAATAAATACTTATATTGACTTCAGTAGGTCTTAAACCAGATGGTCTAAGAGTACATTTCACTTTTAGGCTAGGAATAGAAGTTACACATAAACTGATTCAAGTGGTCAGAAACCGGTTTAAACCTGTAACAGAATAGTAGTTCAGTGCACATAAACTAGTTTTAAAATAGCTGAAACTGACTTAAGATAAACCTGGTTGAATGTAGTTATCAGACTTAACTGATTTGGGTCAACCCAGTTTATGTAACTTTTGTCCTAGACAACTTCCTGGTTCAAGTTAAATCAGAGTCCCCCAGTGCCCCAGCATGCTTCTCAGCCCTGTGCTGGGCTGTGCTATCTGCTCCAGAGAGCAGTGCTGGCCACACCCATCTGCTCCCTAGCTGGAGCAGTGAGGGTTGGCTCACTGGTCCCCTTGGGCATACCCCAGCTGGGGTCTGGGGTCAGGGACAGGGGTTAAACTTCCCTTCCGCTCTGTAGAGCACTGCCCTAGCCTGCTAAACTTACTGCTGGTTGCAACTGTGGACTACAAATCCCAGAGACACCTGGAAGCAGGAGAAGGAAGTGATGAGCAACCCTGAGAGTCCTGCTGCTGTGACTGTGGACTGCAAATCCCAGAGACCTCTGGGGCAGCAAAAAGAGGAAGCAAACACACAGCTCATGCTGGCTATGTGCCAGACAGCCATGATTTAATGCCCCCCAGCTTCTAGCCTGAGCCACAGTAGGCATGCAGCTGCATTTCCTAAATCAAAAGTGAATGTTTGTTCATTGTTTTATTGATTCAATTTTTGCAGCTTATACTAACCTGCAAAGACTGAATCAATTCAGCCTTAGGCTTTTTGACTGTCTATACTTAGCCTTAGAGATCAGACTCCCAGCTGCAAAAAATGGGTGTAGTTCTATTAACTTCAGTGGAAATTTACCATTTGTACCAGATCATCAGCTGTGTTCAAACTCAATGAAACTACTCATGTTAGTTGTTTACAGGGGCATTTTAATATTATTACTGTTACTAGCATACTACTGTCATGCTGGTATATATTACTGGCATAATACTACTATTTAAATTTTTCTAACTTACAGCTATCTGATATTAAGTCCCAATTTTTGGAATGCCAGTGTCAAAGATTTCAGCCCCACCAGAAATTCTCCAAGAACACTATTTTTTTTAAATATATATAGCCTAATGTTTTAGTTAATATCTCAATATCTAGGTATATACTTGTAGATATAAACAGCACATAAGTACAGAGGCACCTGAAAAAACCTTCCTACTTTGCATTTGTGAACTCTTATTTTGAAACAACTATGTGCACACCCTAAGCAAAACCTTATAAAGGTGTCACAAAGATAATACAAAGGTATTACCGTTGTTTTGTGTGTGCAGTCAGGCAAGGTACATGAAGCTAAGCCTTAGTGCCTCATTTCCTTGATTTAAATGGTGCATCAGAAAGGCAAGTAAGATCAGCATTTCTTCTCTAAGTAATTACACCAACATAAGAAAAATATTTCCACTTAAAAGCAGAGTTCACATGTACTTACAACAAGAAAAAGCTTTGTCAGAACAGAACTTGAAGGGATGACAGGAGCTTTAGATTAGCTTTAAAATATAACCACTTCTGAAATCAAACTACTGCAGTATTCATTACCCTTTCTAAGGGAAAAAATAGCTATCTCCTTAAATTTATAAAATAAAATATGAATTTGTATAACTGAATTAGGAAGTGTACAACTACATTCCATGTTAATTTATCTTTGTGTCATAAGTACCACTGACATATGCTGTACTTGAATATCTGTAAATAACATGTTAACTTCCCATCTAAATGAATAAATGAATTAGCACAGACATACCATTACCCATTTTTTCCTGGAACATCTTTCAAAGGACAGAAAGCTTCATTTGACATGTGCTAGACAAAGATGTCTAGCAGATTAAGAATGTGCCCAGTTATCTTTAAAATGAATTCACAAGGTTTTCTAAATACAGAATTTCATTAAATTAAATCCCCGATACCAAGATGAAGCTGAAAGATGCAGCTCTTTTGGGAAGCTCATTGTGCTTTGTCCTCTAGTAGTCTAATCCACACAAATGAAAACCCAACATCACAGAATTTTTTCTTTACTTATTCACACATGAGTACAATTGGTAGATGGTGGTGTATCAATCCGACTTTTATTTTCTTTAACATCATTCAGAGGAGATTCATTACCTATCTGACATTTGAAGACTTGTTTGTAGGCCTTCCTAAAATTTTCAGAGAGGAACGCGTATATGATAGGATTCACAGAAGAATTGCTGTAAGCCAGACAGTGCGCTGTTACTCTGAAGAGAAACGAAGCTTGAGTCAGTGGGAAAACTCCAAATTCAGCCCAGAGGTGGATTATATGATGTGGCAGCCAGGATATCCCAAAAACCACTACCACCACCAATACAGTTTGAGCTGTCTGAGGCAGAAAAAGAAAATAAAATATATTACTTTATTAACACCAGAACAAGAAAGTTCAAATGTTCCACAAAAAATATTGAAGGAAAAAAAACATGTTTATCGAAGTGTTTAATTAATTTATCAGCTATACACATTGTATTTCACATAGTGGGACTAGCTGTAAAACCTCATTTGATAAAAATGAGGTACATGTTGTAGTAACTATGGTTCAAATGGCAAAGTCTGATTCGCCACTATACCATCCATATTTTTCTTGGTACAACACCATTGATTTCAGTGAAATTTCATGTATATAAAATTGGCATAATGCAGTGGTGAATATTTGTCTGTGGGAAACACCGTAACTTTAAATTTAATGGGACATGCCTCCAGTATATTGCACAAAGATTTTAAATCAAATTTTTCAAAAGAGGTCCACCTTCCATTTATGCATCTAAACGCAGTGACCAGAATGTAAAATGAAAAGTACCTAGCTAGGTATTTTATTAAAGCATCTAAATGTAATGCTGAGTTGTTTTCAAAATATGTGATGTAAGCATCATTTATATAGTGTGGTTGTCATATGACTATAGCCCAGCACCCAAGCAATGAAAAGTGACTGTAATAAAGGACAAGTGCACTAATAAACACTCAAAAGCATACATAGTTCTGGTACTAGTGTATGCTGTTGAGAACCTGGAAAAAATGAACTTTAGACAAAAAGCAAAATATCCTAGACCACATCTACTGTTACTTTCCACAATGTCAGTATTTTCATGAGAGCCATCTTCAATGATATACTTAGTCAAAGTACAGCAGTGTATATCAGAGTATAGGGAAATTTTAAGATATTATGGTAACCGTGGCTTGTGAGGAAAATAACAACACTGTCAATGTTCTCTTCAGTTT